ACAGGAAGGAAGGAAATAAGAGACGAAGTGGAAATTCAAAATAAACCTCTTATCTCCTTTCCAGATCTTCCCAAGCAGCTCACCAAGTCTTCATCTGCAAAGCCACACAGAGCATTGCAGCAGCCACTCAGCTGGGCCATGACATGGACATTTCTCTACAGAGATTTCTATCATTGCACTAATAGAAAACTACTTCTAATCATCCACAGATGATCTAGTCGTCTATGTTTTTTAATGTTTATGGCCTCTTATTTACAACTAAATTTTAACTCTACTTATAATTGCTTTAGTGTGATACAAGGTGAAGCTGTAAATTGGCTTTTTATTTTACATTTGCTCAGCACTTTGCATTAAGCCATCTCTTCCTTCTTGAAGCTTTTTGTGATGGTTCCTTTATTTGCAGTGATTATCTCTCAGAAAGAGGGATTTGACAGTCACCTTGGAAGCTTTTCAAAACCATGCATGCCTTAACTTACAAAGCTTTGGGTCTCCCTCTGATTAGTTCCTGTCCCTGCCCCCCCCCAGAGGCATTCGCATGTCATACACTCCCCTTACATCATCAAAGTTGTTCTCCATGCCTGCTCCCTTGTTTTTCTTATTGAGGATAAGAATATATTCGGTATCAGTGAAGTAAGTTTCTGTTGTCAGATTAGGTATGCCTTATCTGAAATATTTAGGGCCGTAAGTGTTTCTAATTTTGGAGTTCTAATCTGAGAACATCTGCATACACTTTACTAATTGAATATCCCTACCCTAAAATTCCAGGATCTGCAATTTAAAATGGTTCAGATTTGGGAACATTTTGACTTTCCGATTTTAAAATTAGATATGTCCAGTACTACTTTAGATACCTAAAAAAATAGTTCTGCAGCATCATATTGTCTGTTGAGAAAATTCTATCTTGTGTTTATGAATAATTTTCAAAAGCCTTTAGTTGAAATTGTTATCACTTTATTAGTTCTATTTTTGCATAAGCAGGATGAATCCATTTTTTAAATTAAAAATCAAGGCTTATATAGAATTGACTTTTTCTAAACGGACATCTGTTTCTACATCTAGCCTGACTCTGTGCAGAATACTTTCCCAAAACTAGCAGCAATTGATGTGTCACTCAGGGAATGAGGCCATTCATGTTGTCCTTATATGGCATTGAATATGTGAGATATTATGTAGAAGCTTGTTCTGGCTGCATATATTTTACAAAATGAAGATACGCATGTACTTCTGAATTTCTTGTCTCTGTGTGTATCTAGAACTAACCCTTTTGTTGACAAGATAGAAGAACAGTATTTCCTATGTACATACACCAATGTACATACAAAGAAAGAAATAAAAGATTTTATCTAATAAATAACCCTAAATTTAGTGAATCCATAGCATATTTTTAAAAAAAAAACTCTAGAACTATTCTCAAGATTCAGATTATTTTAAGGAATAATTATAGATGAAATATCTATCACTAAATAACCCATTATGATATTACAGGTGGATAGACTTCAATCAAATTTTACTTTATTTCAAATAGCATAAGATAATTCATTTAATTATTATTGTTACATATGTGTGTAAGTGTATAAATGTATAAATACAACATACTGTTTCTGCTTAGTGTTGCTTATATGTATATGATTTCAGAGTTAGTCACTTGGTACTAGATAACCAGTTAGGGGTACCTCCCAGAGGAAAACTAGTTTGCCCTCTCTTGGCAATCGTTAGCTGTCTGTACCTGTTCATCTGGGGGTGTGGTCCAATGACATTTCCCTCATCCATGTTGGCAAGTCAACTGGTATTGTCATAATTCAAGTCTTCCTAAGCAGCCATATTGTTGAGATTTCTTAGGTATAATTTCTGTACCCTATCTAGAAGATACTGTCTTGCAGCAGATATCCTACTCCTCTGGTTCTGAAAGTATTTTCACATCCCTCTTCCACAATGTTCCCTGAGCCTAGGGTGTGGGGGTTGTGTTGTAGATGGATCAGTTAGTTGTGGCTGGGTAGCCCATGATCAATTGCTGTCTACATTTTGACAAGGTGGTGCTTTTTGCAGTGGTCTCTGTCTGCAGCAAAAGAAGCTTCTTTGAGGGCTGAAAGCTGGCTATCTGTGGGCATAAGGGTATTAAGAGTCCCACTGGATCTGACCTGAAAGCTTTCTCCTTGAGAACTAGCTTTCAAAGTACTGCAAAGTACAAGCTGCCAAGAGAGGGATGCAACCAATAGTTCTACTGAGCTATGACACCTGTGAGCCACAATAATAACCAGCATGACAAGATAATCTCTAAAGGTGCAAGAAGTGACATATTTTGGTAATAACCAACGTCTTTCTAATTGGATTTAAGGCCTGACGAGCAGGAGGGAAATCATGTCTGGTACTGTAAACCTAGGCAATTCTCCAGGGCTAGTGAGGTCATGGGTTTTAGAGGAGAACCTACTAGTGCCACAGTACTTAAACCAGTATAATTCCTAACTGCATTCTTAATACTTAATACTTTTTGACATTGATTTCCCAGCCAGTGGTCTAACTGGAGTTTTAAGAAGTATTCTAGACTGTGATGACACACACCTTCAATCCCAGCACTTGGGAGGCAAAGGCATGAGGATCTCTGTGAGTTCAAGGCCAGTTTTGTCTACACAGCGAGTTCTAGGCCAGCCAGGACTACATAGTAAGACTCCATCTCAAAAAAAAAAAAAGTAGTAAGTAGTCTTGTCGTTGTCATCTAGGTGCCAGAATAGCTCTGTGGGGAGAGAATTCGACTGCAGAAGCATTCTGACTTTTTAAAACAACCCATGTTCTGTGATAGAAACATATCATAGATTCTTAGAATTTGTCACAACAGCCTTTTACACATTTAGGCAATGACATTCTGGTTCTGTGTATAGCAGAAAAAAATGTACAGACACTGGCCAAATTTTTGCGCAGTTCCCCTAAGGATACTTCCTCTCTAGACTGCGATGTACAATGTTCCTTCCACTCTATTCAGAATAATGACTGGGAAAATGCTAATTATGCCCCTTTTTTCCTTTAAACATCTTTTCCTCCCCATCTTATTTATCCATTTATCTTTTCTTGCTTTGTTCATTCAACAACTACTTGGAAAATATTTAATGGTTTCTGACTTGCCAAGCTACACTGACGGAGTTAGTTCTAAGTCCCTTCTCCTTAAAGCTTACTATTTGTTCTTGAACATACATGAAGTTTTCAGTTTGCCCCTCTCAATTTTAACCTGCAGCTGTACAAAGTTTTTTACTCAGAAATTTGTCAAAGTGACACTTAGGCACCTGGCTTTAATACACATTAAGCTTTTTACCATGTTTGTGTCAAAACTCTTCACGTGTGACCATTAAGTTTAAATTGGTATGTGTGTTGTATGTTTCATGCATGCTTTGAACTTTTATTGTGTGTACATAAAGAAAATGATAGTGTTTTAATATTTTATATAAATGATTTTCTCTTATGTGTTTTTTGGGTTTTTTTTTGTTTTTGTTTTTTTTTTTTTTTTTTTTTTTTTTTTTTTTTTTTTGGTTTGTCAAGGCAGGGTTTCTCTGTGTAGCTTTGGAACCTGTCCTGGCACTCTTTCTGGAGACCAGGCTGGCCTTGAACTCACAGAGATCCACCTGCCTCTACCTCTGCAATGCTGGGATTAAAGGTGTGCGCCACCAACGCCCGGCCTTATGTGGTTTTCTTTCTCACTCAATACTACTTTTTTTTTGTAACGACAATTTTTTTTAAAGATTTTATTTTTTATGTATGCAATGTTCTGCCTGCATGTATGCCTGCAGGCTGGAAGAGGGCACCAGATCTCATTATAGATGGTTTTGAGCTACCATGTGGTTGCAGGGACTTGAACTCAGGTCCTCTGGAAGAGCAGTCAGTGCTCTTCACCTCTGAGCCATCTCTCCAGCCCCCAGTACTACTTTTTTTACTCAGTACTATTTTTTATGTGGGTGGGTATTTTGCCTGCATGTATGTCTGTGTACCACATTTGTTCATTGCCCCAGAAGGGGGTGTTGGATCCCCAGAAACTGGAATTTCAGATGATTGTGTGCCATCAGGTGGGTGCTGGGAATCAAATGAAGGTCTTCTGAAAGAGCAGCCAGGGTTCTTACATTTCTCCAGCCCACTCAATACTGCTTTCTGAGACATCCCCATGTTTGATGGATGTGTATGTACTTTCTTGCATTGAAGTGTTAAAGGTACTTCATGTTGTAAATAAGCCAGTTTACTTCTTCATGCTTTTCCTGGAACATCCTTAATTGCTCCCAGTTATGACAACTGAGCCTCATTGTACATATGCTCTTCTGTGTGTGTTTGCATGCTTCTATAAGAGCTGTACCTTGCAGTGGACTTCCTGGGTCATATTATCACACGCACACCCTCTTCCTCTGTCAGTGGATAGAGGAATCATTTATGAATCTGCTTTAAGTCAGTCCCTTTGCCAGGTCATTGGGTTCTTAGCTTATATATGTAGTATTTCAATTCTTCTCATTTTTATCTTAGGAGCGATAGTGGGTGGTCTCACTTTGATTAGAATTTTATTAACTCATTTGTTAGCAGAGATTTAGGCATAAATGCATACATCAGCAAGCAATATATGCTGTTGAAGTACCAAACATGTTTTCTGACATTTCAACACAATCCCCAAATTGCTTTATTTTTCAACATATTTAAAATTAGTATCAAGTGCCTAATTTTAGTAACTCTTTAGTGACTTGAAAAACAATGTCACTTCATTCATTTTGTTTTTAAATCCAGGAATTTCACTTAATGTTATAACTGATGTTAAACGTGTTAACAATAAGTTCTGAGAAGATTCTACATATAGTTCTAAAAATGTAAGGGATAATGTAAGCTTTTCTTTGCCTTGAACTATTTTACAGTTAAGCAAGTGAAAGATCACTTCTGAAGATCTGGGTTTTGGATATGCTGGGGCTTTGTTCCATAATTTTACCAATCTCAAGGAAGGAAGAAGCCGGCTGGTATCATTTTATTTTAGCACATTTGCCTCAGTTACCCTTAGTATTGTACTGCATTTTGGCTGCCACAGATAGATCATGCAGGGAATACCCTGGCTTAAATTCTGAAGTACTTTCACTTCTGCTTGCTTCACTTTGAAATCTTCTAAAAAGAAGTTGGCACATGATTTTGCGAATATTACTGGACATCAGGAAATACATGACTGGATCTAAGCAGCTGTTGAAAGCGGAAAGAACCAACATGATCTCATTGGTTTTGTGAACGATTCTCTTCCAGTAGCAAGAAGGCTCATTTAGCTGTGAAGAAATGTAGATGAATCGAAAGGCATGATAAGGCACAAAACATATAGTAAAAATGATCAGTACGATAAAGGAGTTCCGAGCTGTTGTAGCATATTTGCCAGAATTAGGAAATTTTGACCTCCTTTTAGAAATCCTTAGTAGATTCTTGCCAATCTTAATATATGAGAGGATTATCAGTAGGAAAATAAGCCAGAACATTACCACAAGAACATAGTTAAAAATTGCTTCTCCCTTTGCATTATGCCTGTCTCTGTAATGGAAACACAATGTGGAATTGTGCCCTCCCTTCTTCAGTGTCAAAATGATCATAGTTAAAAACCCAGCAAGAGCAACTGCCCATACTATACAGCAAACATAAATACTTTGCCTGGTGGTTATTGCCCTCCTTTGTTGTATAGACCGATTAATTTTTACATAGCGATCCAAACTGATAAACCCAAGCAAAATAATACTGATGTACATGTTCATGTAAAATAGCGTCCCCACAACCTTGCAAAGAATCACACCTAGTGTCCACTTATTTTGGTTGATGTGATACATTATGCGGAAAGGGAGGCAGAAGATGAGTAGAAGGTCTGCAATGGCCACATTAAGTAGATAAATTTGAATGGAATTTCTTTTGCGGTGGATGCCCAGAAATACATAGAGGGCAATGATGTTCCCAACCAGTCCCACGATGAAAATAACAGAGTAGAAGGTTGTTAACACTGTAGATAGTAGTTTTTCATCCATTGGACAGCTAGTATCATTTGGCACTGTGGAGAAATTTTGTGAGGATTCGTCACTGTGATTCGTTATAAAGTGCATTCCATAGGAGGAGCAAGGCCAGCTGTTAACTGAAGTAGTCGTCATTGTTACAGTGTGACTTCTCAGTGTCTTCTGTAGCCCTCAGAACAGAGTATTTAATGACATGCTCTTTGTGTGTACTTCTTTATTTCTTCATGTTTTCCTACAATAGAATGGCAAATATTGAGTCCTTTGCTGTGTTAATAACAGCTGCTTTAACACAAAACATAAATAAGGATTTCATTTTGGACCTTATTTGGGACCATTTGGCTATCTACACAATGTGTGTAGTAGCATTATTGCATCACAAGACAGCAAAAAATACAGTAGGATCCCTAACCTTTTCTGTTGCTATGGCATGTGTACAGAGTTCATTTCATTTTTATATTAAAATAAATAATTGAACCATATGAGCATCATTTCTTAGCATTGTTATTATGGGAATAGAGATAGTAAAAAGAAACAGCAGCTCATTTTTTCAAGGATGCATATAAATGTACCCTAAAGTTGCTTGTTGTCATGGGTGAGCTGAGTTCCCTGCTGACCCTGCCCAGCTTTTCAGAAATGCTTCCTGGCCTTCCCCTTCCCTTATAGTTGGCATCCATTCATTTTGACACACATTGCCACATGGTATTACTGGATAAGCTGTAGTGATCTCTGTTTCCACAGAGACAATAGAAAAGAGGATCCCAAATTTCTTCCTTCACCTAAGACCAAGATAGGAGTATTAAAATTACTTATCTATAGGAATGTAAACTTATCAAAACAGACCATGGCTGGGACCTACCTCCTTTCACAGACTCGTGTAGCACTTCACAGGAGAATTCAGTGGTCATACAGTACCAGATCAGATAGCAGCCAACAAACCACTCCCACCCTTGAAGCCTGGGGCAGTAATATAGATGGGAAACAACACATGGAGTCCAAGATTATGACTCCATGTGGTTAACTAACTACATTTTAATTATGCTCTGGATTATATCATTTGAGATTGTCACCAGAAACTTCTAAGTATGTCAATTCTACTTGGTCCCAGAGCTACTTGTTATTGGACAATTCTCATGCATTTGACTGTTGGGGCCTATTATATATGTAAGGATAATTCAAGCAGGTCTCCTCATATTCCTTTATTATAGTAACGGCCCTGTTTTTCTGTAAAACCCTTTCATGGGTGTAACATAAAAACTTTATAGCAGAGGGCAGATGAGATAGGGTAAAGGTATGTTCTGCCAAGCCTAATTACCTGAATCTGATCTCCAAGATCTACATGGTAGAAGGAGAAAACTGACTCCACAAGTTGTTCTCTGACCTCCAGATGTGTGCAGTGGCACATTCATGTCACACAATACATACATACATACATACATACATACATACATACATACATACGAATGAATAGATGTAGTGAAATTAAATACTTTAAAGCAGGGCTTTCAAAGTCATACTTAACTTCATTTAAGGACAAGTGATCTTTTCTAAGCCTTTTTTCTTATTTGTAAAAATGAAAAGCTTTTATGTGAAACACCCCTGATACATATAAGTGTTCAAAATAGTTTGCTTCGAGCCTAGGTCTTATAGCTTGGTGGTAGAACACTTGTCTGGTATGTGTGCAGCCCTGCTTTACTTCCCAGCACTGAAAACAAAAGCTAGCCTTAAAAAACTCGGTACCTTGCCTGGTGGTGGTGGCACATGCCTTTAATCCCAGCACTCAGGAGGCAGAGGCAGGTATAGCTCAGTGAGTTTGAGGGCAGCCTAGTCTACAAAGTGAGTTTCAGAACAGCCAGGGCTACCTGCACAGAGAAACCCTGTCTCGAAAACACCAAAACACCAAACCAAACCAAAGCATTTCTAGAGCAAAACAAAACAGCAAAAACCACCAAACTACTTATTACTGCATTTAGGCTTTCAATATACACTCTAAAATGCTTACTGAGAGCAGGGTCTCTGTGTTATATTCAAATGTTGTTATCCTAGTCTTAATTTCCAGGCAGTACTTATATGACTGTGAAATGTTTAGTTTGATCATTAGGCACCTAGATTTTTGTTGTTGTTTTTGTTTTTCCAAGGCAGGGTTTCTCTGTGTAAGCCTGGCTGTCCTGGAACTCTAGACTAGATTGGTCTCAAACTAAGAGATCTACCTACCTCTGCCTCCCAAGTTCCAGGATTAAATGCCTGAAGCACCACTGCCCAGCTATAAAGAGTAGATCTTAATTATGAAAATTAATTTCTTCTTGTTTTTGTCATTGTTTTATGGTACTGAGGATTGAACCTAGAACTTTATACCTACTAAAATTATATATTAGAACTAATAATTTACTGTCTAATAACAACTGTTATTATTACCACTGAGCCACATCTCGCCACAATATTTTTTGCTTCCTTTTAAATTAGGTATTTTTAGTTAGTCTGTAAAATGTATTTCACTAAATATGACATTTTTATGTGTGTGTCATTGTACTTTACTCATATTCACCCCACCACTCTCCCTTTCCCTTCCTCCTGTCCCCCTGCTTCCCTCCCCAAATAGTACTCCTCTGCTTTAATGTCATATGGATCGATAAATAAATAGACAGATATTTCATGATAATCTACATGTAAGAAAATATGCTGTATTGTCTTTTCACCTCATTGCTCCTTGTTCCCCATTTCTTAGACACATTCTTCTCCCACATGATCCTCCTGCTTTTATGTCTTCTGCATACTGTATTTTTACATCTAGAGTCTGCATATGAGAATAAGCATGCAACATTTGTCTTTGCAGAATTAATTTCTTGATTTGATGCTATAGAGAGAGGAAAATATTTGGAAGAATGTAGCCTCTCCTAAAACTATAGTTTGGTTAAGTACAGGCTTTTAATAGAAAGTAGCATTCAGCTTTAAATTTTGACAGAGCAAAGGAGTTGGTTCCAAGGAAGAGGAAGTGGCTGGTGAGGAGGAAGTTCTGTTAAGACATCTTGAGAACTGTCTCCATAATTTAGGACCATGGAGGGAGAAAGAGAGAAGGACTGGGAGGAAGGAATGAAGGAAGAACTGAGGCTTGGCTATGCTATGTCTCAGATGCAGGAAGACAGATTTCACAATGTTTGTAGGAACATGCAGGCCTGGTTCTTCTGGTCTGACATCTTAAAATGAAGAGACAATCTAGGAAGGGTAGCAGGCTGGTAATAATGCAACATGCTATGCCAGTAAGAGGGCAAGAAACCTCTGTTGTGTATTTATACAGGAAACTCTCAGATGCTCAGGTAGAAGCATCCTATCCATAGGTGAAAAGATGCTGAGACTCAGGTGTTATGACTAACAGCTCAGGAAGCTGAAGTGACTTGGAATAGGCATCCCCAAATAGTTCTTCTTCCTAATATATTTTAAATCCCGTTAGGATTAAGAACTAAGTCTGTTTTGTTTGCCTCTGTGTCCAGGTGCTTAGCACAATAAATATTACTGAATGAAAGAGGGAATTTAGGAAAAGTAGATGTAAAGTGTTAAAAGTACAAGTACTGGAAGCTTCCACTTCATTCACAGAAACCCAGTTCCCTGCGTTGTATCAGCAATATAGTACAGCCACAGCAAAAATTAACACCATCTTTGGTTTAATTCATAAGTCTATAGTGTTTTAAATAAAACTTGTTACTGTTGACCTGGATTCTGTCCCAGGCTGATAGCCTTCCCTGTAATATCATTTTTTTATCATCCTTGGTGGTGTACTTAAGAAAGACCATGCACCAAACAGGCAGAAGAAGTAGAATTCAAATTATATTGTAGAGAGAAGTTGAAGTAAAAAGGCATATTAACCTATAGACGAGTATGTTTTTGCAAGGTCATGGAGAATAGGATCTCCCCTTCTTATGTCTTCAGGGAGCAAAGCAAGTACCAGTGATAGAAAGTGCAGAGACAGATATTGCCTCTTTGTGAGTAAATGCTTTTGTAGAATGAAACAATCTAGCTTGGAAGGTACTAACAGTCTTTGTACCAGAAATTCAAAGCTGCAGCAGCACTCTGTAGAAGGGATTCTCAGTGGTACTCCAAACTGTGGATGAGCATCCCTTTGAGGCTTTTTAAAGATACCAATGTCTGGCTTCTTCCCAGATAACCTGTATCTGGAATGGGCTTTGTACACTGGTTTCTTTTAAAAGTTCCTGGGAGGTGTCCAGTGTGTAGAGTCAAAATTGAACTGAGCTAAATGGTCAAATGATGATCACCTAATCATTATTTAGCACTTGCTGTGATCCAGATACTGTTTGAACACATGATATAAATTCTTTTACATAGACTTTATAATAGTATGTTAGGTCAAGAAAGAGCCATAAGTAGGCTCTTTACCCATGACCTTAAAGCTCCTAAGTGGCAGTACCCAAGTTGAGGCTGCACTCTGACTCTGAAAACCCCTGAACCTCCTCAGTAAACTTCACTCCTATCATAGCTGATCACCATTTCCATATTAATGCTGAATTCTATCAGTCAATAGTAGTTTGACATGATTCTTTATCACTATCTACCTTGGTTGTCTTAGGGTGAGATTGTACCAGCTAGCTTTGCTCCTTTGGAAGAGTTATTAATCTTTGCATTTGCTAGGTCTAGAACAGTAAGCAAATAAATCTAGACTTCAAAGAAACAAACTATTGATCAGAATTTTCATACTTATTTCTAGGCCAAAGAGCAATAATCAAGTTGTTTCTAGGAAGATATTAGCACAAAGAACATATCCTGTAATATGCAAATATAATGAATCAATAATTAATAATGGTTGGACAGAACCACTAATAAATCTTTTGAACCGAGTTAGTGTCAAGTTGAAGGAGAATAAAGCAAAAGCAGTGTGTTCGACAGTCACAGGATCATGGCATGCCATACCAGATAGTAGATAGCCCAGCAGCTGATGACTATCAACCAATTCACAAATTATATCCTGTCTCAAACTTGGTAACTAACTCCTGTTACCTTTAAAGTTGGGAGCTGGGCTTGATGGCTCATGGATGTCTGTAATCACAGCTCCTTTAGAGTCGGAGTTAGGAGAATCACAAGCTCAAAGCAGTGCAGTTGAAAGGAGGCAAGAAGAATATCTAAATGGTAGATCAAGCACAAAGCCCTTGTAGTTCAATCTCCAATACTGCAAAAGTAAGAAAGTAAATAAGTTAGCTATACGTCAGCCGATGTG